CTTGACAACCATAGCTGACAGATTGTTTTGAGTGTATCTGATTCCGGAGTCTCAGAGGCTAAAACAACTGGAAAACATTTTGGTGGGAGAGGAGGTGCTAAGACTCTAATACTCAGGTGGGTTGCTAAGCCCACAGATACTGGACTTGGAAAAAAAAGGCTTTGTCACTAGAATAGACTACTGGTTGACTCCACTTTTAATTGACTGTGTTCTGGATTATCATCAGGGGAATGGGTCTGTTTTCTCCTTTCACTAAATCTCCACTGTCTGAAAGTGTTAGGTGCTCAGTCAAGTCCAATTCTTTCCAACTCCATGGACTGTAGCCCGCCAGGCTCCTCTGTCCATGGGAGTTCCCAGGCAAGAATACTGGAGTGGGTTAAGGAAATGGCAACCCACTCCAGTATTTCTGCCTGGAGTATTCTTAGAGAAGGAAAAGGCAACCCACTCTAGTATTCTTGCCTGGGAAATCCCATGGATTTCAGTCTATGGGGTCTCAAAGAGCTGGACACAACTGAAGTGACTTAGCACAGCCATTTCCTGAATTGACTATTCTCATATATTACCTCATTTAGCTCTCAGGACCGAATGAATAACAATGATGTTTGTATGAAAACAGAAAGTGTTAGTTGCTCCCTCCTCCAGGGGTTCTTCCCAACTCAGGGATCAAATCCCGGTCTCCTGCACTGCAGGTGGATTCTTTACCATGTGAGCCACCAGGGTAGCCAACTTCTAAACCCTAGTTTTCTCATCTAGTTTCATTCATTTCAACAGTCCCATGTGGCAGGTTTTTATCATCATTACTCCTTTACAGATGAGATCACAGAGGTCGTTCAGGAGGTGAACAAGCAGCAGAGCCTGAAATAAACATGCTCTTTATCACTTACAAAGGGTTGTATGAGATGGTGACTACTAGGTTGTGACTTACAGTATAAATTCTAAGAACTGCTTGTGAGTAAGCATGGTATCCCTGGAAGGTGGGATACATCTAGGGAAGAGATACATCTTCAGGCAGGAAACAGGAACTAAGAAGGCAAGTTTTACACAGACAGCTATCCTACCAACACTGTATTTTTAGAGGTCTTTCTCTGTGCTGTAGCTGGTACTTGGGAGACAAGAGTGAACAAGAAGTGGGACAATGAATTCCCCCAGGTGGTACTAAGTTGCTGCCCACAACATTGAAATCTGATAAAGCTTCAGGGTCAAGTGAAACCTGAAATATCCCCATGCATGCTAAGTTGCTCAGTCGTGTCCAACTATTTGCGACCCTATGGACTGTAGTCCACCAGGCTCCTCTGTCCATGGGATTCTCCAGGCAAGAATACTGGAGTGGGTAGCCATTTCCTCCTCCAGAGGATCTTCCCCACAATATCCCCATATGCTTTTTCAAATACTAGTCTAAGACCTGGCACCAAACACTCCAAGAATCTATATTTTTATACTCATTTCAAATGATTCTGTTGCACAGTCAGGATCAGACAGGTGAGCTCATTGCACATTATGATGGCTTCCTTTTATTTTCCCTGAACTTTTAGATTAAAAGTTCTACCTCCACTCAGCTGTGCTAGAGAGGTACACTCAGACTAGAATATTAAAAAGGAGTTATCTCCACTATACCCCATGGCCAGTGAGGTAACCAGAAAGATTGTCTCAACAGGAAGGAGGATCTTGTAGAACATACAGTCACCCTTTGACATCCACGAGACCCATTGGAGACTCTTCCTCCAAGGCCAGTTTCGGAAGTCCTGAGTTTTGTTTGATGAAGAAAGGTAGCAATTCCTTTATAGGAAGCCTTAAGTCCAGATCCCCTGTGTCCAAATTCTATGCTCTTCATTCTACCTGCAGCTTCCTGGATCAAGACCCTATGATATCTGCTTAGATACACTAGCAATGGGAATACAGACACAGAACTTGTTCAATCGGACAGCTCAAGGATGCCTAAGGGAACCCAAAAGCCAAAGCTGTCTTTCTCTTACCCTGAATGTGGCTCTCTGCTCAGAGTTCTATTATTATTTTTGAGAATAAGAATTGTTTTCACTTGTGGTGGTCTGAACCTCTTTACCCCACGTCCCAGTAACAGTTAAGGCAAAAGAGCTGGTTACAAGGGAAGGAAGAGAGGAAAGACTGGAGCTGGAGATCCCTCAGGAAGAAGGTGACCACACTTCTTGGTTTTACCAGAATTGCAGATGGATGTTTGTGTCAACCCCAAATTCATACGTTGAAATCTTAACTCCCAATGTTTTCGGAGGTAGGGCCTTTGGGAGGTGATGAAGTCAAGAAGATGGGAGCCTGAACATGAACGCAATTAGTGCCCTGATAAAAGGACCCCCGAGAATGCTCTAGCTCTCTTTCTGCCTTGTGATCATACAACAATTCTGTAGTCTGCTACGCTCTTACCAGAACCCTGCCATGTCAGCACCCTGATCTCAGACTTCCAGCCTCCAGAACTGTGAGAAATCAATTTCTTTTATTTATAATCCACTCAGTCTATGGTCATTTGTTACAGCAGCCTGGGCTAACACTCCTGGGAAAGTCCCAGTATGTGCCTGTTGTCCCTGGGTAATTATCAATGCCACCATACCACTTTCAAAAGGGTCTTAGTCACACAATAAGTTACATGGCCATCCTAATGAGGGAGGAACCAGAATCCATCTTTCCTCATGGTTTTTAATCTGAGGCACTGCTTCAAAAAGGAAATGATAACTTTCAGAAATCAGGGCAATACAGGACATGGAGGCAACCTAGATGCCCAACAGCAGACGAATGGATAAGGAAGCTGTGGTACATATACACCATGGAATATTACTCAGCCATTAAAAAGAATTCATTTGAATCAGTTCTGAGATGGAGGAAACTGGAGCCCATTATACAGAGCGAAGTAAGCCAGAAAGATAAAGACCAATACAGTATACTAATGCATATATATGGAATTTAGAAAGATGGTAACGATAACCCTATATGTAAAACAGAAAAAGAGACACAGATGTACAGAACAGACTTTTGGACTCTGTGGGAGAAGGTGAGGGTGGGATGTTTCAAGAGAACAGCATCGAAACATGTATATTATCTAGGGTGAAACAGATCACCAGCCCAGGCTGGATGCATGAGACAAGTGCTCGTGCCTGGTGCACTGGGAAGACCCAGAGGAGTCGGGTGGAGAGGGAGGTGGGAGGGGGGATCAGGACGGGGAATACATGTAAATCCATGGCTGATTCATGTCAATGTATGACAAAAACCACTACAATATTGTAAAGTAATTAGCCTCCAACTAATAAAAATAAATGAGGAAAAAAAAAAACAAATCAGGGCAATAAGCTCCTGAAAGGCAGGGACTGCCATGTAATTGATTTGTTTTAATAAGAAAAGCATAGTTTACTATATGCATTAAAAAGAGAGTATCTGATCAACCAAGAGATCTCTTGATTGAATTTTGTATTCCCAGCATCTAGCTGTAGATATGACTAACGCTTCTTGCCCTGCCAACCCTCAGACAGTTATTTTCTGACCAAACCAAAGCTATACCAGTATTTTAATGATTGCACTGACATCTGGTGGTCAGTTCCAGGTTTTTTTCTGGGCAGCTTCTATACCAGATGATGGATTAATCTGTACCTTGTACTCCATTAAAGCCATTTTTACCTGAGCCCTACAGCAACTAAGACATGACACTCTAATTCACAGTAAGTTGTTGATAGCCGGTAATAGCTGTTTTTTTCTAAGAAGGTATTTAGATTAGAGGCAGGAATGACAATATGTGTGGCAAGGGCCCAGTAAAATTGTGTGCATTCTAAGTTGCTTCAGTCATGTTTGATTCTTTGTGACCCTATGGACTATAGCCCACCATGCTCTTCTGTCCATGGGATTCTCCAGGCAAGAATGCTGGACAGGATTGCCATGCCCTCCTCCAGGAGATCTTCCCGACCCAGAGTTTGAGCCTGCATCTCTTATGTCTCTTGCATTGGCAGGCAGGTTCTTTACCACTAGTGCCACCTGGGAAGAATAACATCAAAATCTGAAGTTTCCTTGTGAAATTTTAGGCTTATGAAGGAGTTATTCATACATAGAGGTATCCTTCCTGAAACAATACCAAGCAGGCCAAAGGCATTAAAGTTCTTGGTAGCAACAAGATATCCAGTGTACACCTGTACACCAGTGCAGATGTTATCAAATGTCAACAGGAGAAATTGTTAAATGAAAACTTGGACAACACAGTATACTGTCTTCCTAGTGGTCTAAAAGAGAAAGGGAGGGAGAGGTAAGGAGAAATCAGATTCAGGAAAAATAGAGTGAGAAGGTAGGAAAACCATGCTCTAAAGGATAGCTTTCCTTTGTTTTCTGGGTTCTAGAGAGATGTGAATAGGAAATGTTTGCACATTCAACCACTTCCCTGAAAAGGCCCACTCCTCAGTCACATCAAAGGGTTTCCCAGAGAAGACATTTTAATCCCAACGCACCATAAAGATTATATTACTAGCTCTGCTATTCAATGTAGGAACATTTCCATCACCCATCCCACTCCTTGTAAGAACAGACTGTAGCCAAGAGGCCTGTCAAAGCCAATAACCTTACATCATTAAAAACTCAAAGAGAGAAAAAATACAGCTCCCAGTTAATCCTCATTTCATCAGGAAAAGATCACCAGTGTGTGAGACAGGAACATTTAAGTAGCATAATGAAGTATGGGGAATCATTCAGAACACACCAGGTGCTCCTCGTTTGTCTCCTCCTGGTAAAAAGCATTCAGTTCAGCCTCTCAGTTGTGTCTGACTCTTTGCGACCTCATGACTTCCCTATCCATCATCAACTCCCAGAGCTTGCTCAAAGTATTACTCAATCTGTAAATATAACTAAGTATTTAACAAATATTTTAAGAAGTAGGCCAGCCAGTAGGAGTTTTCAGGTACCTTTCACACTACCCTCCCCCAACCTCCACACTGCAATTTTATGATCAGAAATCAATAGCTACAAAATTGAAGGTCTTCAGAAACACACCAGACACCAAGTTGGATAAGGCTGTGCTTTATTACATGCATAATTACAAATCTGTGCTAAGTGAAAAATGTATAAAGCAATGGCGACCTGGGTTTAAGCCACACAGAGAAAGGGCTGGACAATCCCATTAACCCTTCTGCCAAAGTCCATTCCATTGCCTGTGACATGATTGTTTCCATTTCTTACAATTTGCATAGCACTTACTTATCAAAGTACTTTCCTTTCATTGTCTCAGTTTATCCTCACAACAACCCTGTGAGGTAGGTAGGGCAATTAACACTATCCCCATTTTGCAGATGGGAACACTGAGGCACAGAGCGGTTAAGATCTCGAGGCTAGTTAGTAGAAGCATAGGGAATAGAAACTAGGTCTCCTAACTCCCCAGCCCACATCTTTCCTTTAAGACTATGTTGCTATGCTTGACCAGGGAGCAGAATGAAGTGTGCAGTAAGCCATAGCTTTGGTACAGGCTGTGCCTATGAACAGGGACCAACATCTCTAAAAGTTACAATAAAGCTAAGAAAGTGTGACTAAAGCATTGGCAGCACTCAGATAAATAATTGCTCTGAACAGCTCAGCACCAAGCTTCCTATGGAAACTCAGGCTCTATTAGCTTTGGTTGACTCTAGTGTCTGGACACCTAGCTACTGCTGATGTCTACATACATTAGCTTCATTTGAACTTTTACCAACTCTCAGGAACTAAAATTTTGAGTCAGACAGGTTTTCTTTGGCTACTGCAGTTGAAGCCAGCCCTACAAATGAGCTCACTACAGAGATATTCATAGAATGGCCCATGGGCTGGAACCAGCCCCTCTGATCATCCTGGCCTCACTGGCTCATTCGACAGCTGGTATTTTTCCCACAGCCAGAAATGACTGGACAGAGGGTAAGAAGAGGAGGCTGGCCTTGGTCAAATGAAGAAGAATCACCATCATTACATCAATGGCATCCTTAGGTGACATGACCAGGGTGCTGTCCATCAGGCTTAACTCCTTCCTGGCCTGTACCTGGTTAACAGCATAGCTTCAAAGGACAGTTTAAAAGAACAAAATATTAAACACACTATATATTTTTTTACCTAGAATAAAATCAATTCATAATCACTACCTAGTCCCAAGGGACCAAATATATAATAAAAAAGTAAATATTTATTAAAATCTGAGGAGTAAAAAGGCAGGACAAGGGGAAAGAGAGAGGATAAGGGATAAAGTAAAATGGAGGAGGAGGAGCACTGTTGAAGGACTATATAGTTGAGGTACAGTCAGAAAGATAATGAGGCGAAACATCCCCACCCTGACAAAATCAACCCAGGCTACTCCCTCACCTTCATTCTGCCAAGAGGCATTTCACTCATCAAGTTCTAGATCGCCTCTGACTTTCAACATATTTGGACCAGTAGTAGATGAGAATAACGTTTAGCAATGAATATTTCACATGTCTGCATCGAGATGCTAAAGCCCTGGACACTGCCAGCAGGTATCACTGGCTCTAGCCCCTAAAGCGGAGCAAAGTCCTGTTGGCTCCATGAACTCAGAAGTCATTCTCTACTCTCAGAATGATCTTTTCCCTCCTCCAAGGTCCATATTCAAAACAATACACTTATAACACATGATAAAATTTTGAATTTAGGGCATAGCAGGCAAGAGACAGAAAGAGAGAGACAGAGGCAGACAGGAGAGAGGAGGAGAGGGAGAGATCATTTATTTAAACCCTCACATTGTATACTGCCACACGCCTTTTCCCCTTAAAAGGCTGAACTTTAGGCAAGGCATTCATGCAATGAGTGTGCACACAGAGGCTGAAGACCCTTTGGCAGGAACTTAAAGAGGTAGGAATTTATGACTGTGGGATTGAACTGGATGACCTGACAGGTTCCATCCAAGAAATGCAAACTCCACACATCACAGACTTTCCTTCTTTCTTGGATGATTTGGCAAAATAAGATTACATGGTGGAAAATCAATCTTGCTCCTTATGTCACTTCAAAACTTTGCCCAGATGCAGATGTTTAGAAATGAGATGTGACCAGCAAACATTTGGGGAGTGACTTGAAGTTGCTAATACCTACTAGTCCAAGAAAGTCTCCCCTTGGGGCAAGCAATCAAAATTGAGGCAGAGCACAGTTGAGTGGTCGCCACAGGTCTACTACACCAATTTCAGTTCAAATTTACAAAGCTCCCTGAGCTCTGAGACACTGTCACTTTTTTTCTTTCTAATATAGAATAAGCATATACCAAGGAGGCTAACGACATTTTTAAAATATTTTGCTATCAAAATTCAAGATAATCTACCAAAAGCTTATCATTTAGGCAATGGCAGGAGACACTGCCTTCTTCCATGAGCAGATGTCTGGTCTTGGGTCAGCCCTCTCCATAAAAGTAGACTGCCTCCAACCAAATGCTGCTTTGAGCCTCTATGTTGCTTGGAAAGCCTGCTCTTTCAGCCACTACTAACTATTCTCCCCTTGAGGCACATAAATCAAGCAGTTTAATAAACGTCAGGGTGTTTGGCTTGGGGCATGGAATGACCTTCCTCCCACCATCTTACAAGAATTCATATATTTTCTTACTAGGGTTTTTCCACTGCTATAACTTTCCACCTTCTCTCCAAAGGGAATCCAGGTAATCCCAGAGGTGGTTTAAAAAAAATCAAGATTGTAGGACACTTAAGTTCAGACCACATATTTAGACATCTATTTTTTTAAGGACTCACCATTCCACCTCCCCTTTACTTTCTAAACCCCTAATTTTTCTCCGGGTTTTCAAGAGCTCAATACTCTATGTACCACCATGAAAGACACTCTCCTGCTTTCTCTGAACAGATGAGTGGCCTGAGTATGGTTCTGAGTTGATAAAAGTAAAACAATTCTTCACAATACAATGTGGTCCATCACCAGTAAGTACTTTAGCAATATAAAACACACTGGCCATTTCAAATTTTCAATAACTGTCTTCACTATCATTTATTAAATATTCAACTTCAAAACCTGCACTCCTTATGATTTATTAAAAAAAACAAAACCGAAAGATACCATGGGGTATACTCACCACCTAACTAAACAAACCAAGGTCAGGACCCAACCAGGACAGGTGATTCAAATACTTAAAACATACAGTGGTGATTACTTTCCCTGTTGGACTCTATTGCACGTTGTTTTTAAAAAAACATATTTGCTCCTCCCCTCCACCTGAATAGGTTCATAAATTCATAGTTAAGAATTACTTCACAGTCTTAGACCACACAAAGTCCCCATTAATTTATCATTCTTGTGGTCAAGCGCAATTGAAGACTTGATAGAGAAATTGATGCTGTTCTCTGCTCTTTCTGTAAAGGGTTCAGATTCAGTCTCTGGTGTCAAAACAACTGAACTCCTTTGCAGTTCCAGAAGCAAAACAGATTGACTGCTCTGCCAGCTGGCACATCCAAAGTATTGTCAATGTCAGATTATCCACCAAAGGATATGGGTTCTATGGATTATACCACCTCTACTCCACAGCTGGGCTGAGCCAGACTGGAGCCAGAAAAGAGGAGAGTGTCTGAACTAACAGAAATGATCTTAAAAGTGGCCATTACTTTGCATGTTCAGTCAGTTCCCTGCTTCTGCCAATGGTGTATCCAAACATGCCTCAGCTTTATTCGTTTAATTCTTTACATTGAAGATCTGAAGATACAAAACATAGCTGTTAGATTTTTTAAAATCTAGACTCTCAAAAAAAATCTAGACACTCCTTTCATGGCTGGATGCCTACAGATATTTTGCTTTGGAAAACCCTCTCTCGAAGTGCTTATTGGCATTCTTTTAGAAATCCTTCCCTTGTGTTGGGAAAACTTCTCTCAATACCAGAATAGACTGGTCTCCCAGTCTTTTGCCACTGAGGTATGCGACCATTTCTAACTACTCACAGACCTCCCTATATCAGCTCTGTTGGTTTAATGATGTATAACTGCTGAATTGGCAACGGCAGAAAGAACATTTTCCTTTGCCTCAAGATAAGAAACTCTGAATGTTAAGGTGCTGAGCTAGCAGGCTAGCAGAGAGCGCTACCACAATTAGCCAAACTTTGAGCCAAACCATAGGACTGGACATATAATGGATATCATAAACTACAGGTACTTTTAGCATATAGTTACAAGGATTCCTGAGAAGCTGAGGTTAATGAATGAGATTTATTAGGAGTGAGGTATCAAAGGGATGTTTTTCTCTGGCGGGCCAATCAGTGCTTAGCATCTAGAAGGTATACCTTGGCACAGTATTATCTGATTTCTTGAATTTATTCTCTGAAGTAGCACCTGAACACTGGCTCATCTGTTTCAAATAAAAAACAGAGCCTAGAAGAAACACAAAGGCAAACTTATATACCCTCCATATCACCGCTGCCCTAAGAAATGTGACCAAACCTTTCACTGTCATCAAATACCAGAAATATTAACATTTCCTGTTTTGCAAACTTTAGTTGGACGGCTGATAAGAAAAGACAGGTAGTGAACCAGAAGTACACACATAAGAACTTTGATTTCTGCACAACAGATGTGGTGGTAGGGCAAATAGCCACATCTCTTTTGAGGGAATCAGTGGCAAAGAAGAGACAAATGACTTATTTGTCGCTTGTGAAGTTACTGAGTCATGACTATAATATAATAAAACCTAGGGAGGGTCTTTTCTTTTTCATTAAAATGCTAGAGTGTTATATTTAAAGGAAAAGCTCTGGTGACTGCCTTGATACTTTAAAGCTAAAAATCAAAATAAGCCTTGGCTCCCTAGTTCTGGGCAATAAAAGAATTTCAGATTTTGGAAACATAAGAACTAGGGGTAAAAAATCCTAGAATCAGAGATCAGCAACTTTAAAAAATGAGGTACACTGAGGTGCTTGAACACAGGAGACAGAGGGAAGGAAAGGCTATGCTGAATGACTGCTGATTCTAGGCTGGAAGGATGGTGGGAAGTGCTGGGAACAGACTTGGAAAATGGGAAAGGTTCAGCTCTCTCCCCTAGCATTTGAGTCTCACTGCTGTGGGCGTCAGCATGGGAATGGAGGCATGGCAGTAGCTATTGGACTATAGAGCAAAGCAAATGGCTGTGTGTTGCCTCTCTGGTCCATGGGCTGTAAGCTTCTGGAGGCTGGGTTTACAATTTAACTAGCTCCAGGAGTTATCTTTTTGTAACAGGAATGATTAACTGGGCACAGTGCTCAATCCCAAAGAGAGGACTCAGGACTAAGGCATGGAAAAGGGAGAAGAATGGAGGGGAAACAACAGCATGTGGGTAAAAATGTAGAAAACGTAGTTGGAATGATGGTGGTGGCTCTGTAACTCCACCGGGTGTCCCTAGATGTTTTCTACTGCAGTAAAGGTGGTAGGAAATTGAGACAGGCACCTTTTCAATTGGATACAAGCACCTAAGGTGTCACCAGGCCTTGTACACATCCCTGGGTCTCAGGATGGTTCTGCATTTAGAAGTCTAAGAAGTCTCAAGGGAGTCAGAGCTGCCGATCCTGTTCCAATGCCTTGAACATATCTGAAAGTACTCCCAAGCCTAAATTCACCATCATGGGGAAAACACTGGCCTGTTAAATGTACTTAACACTGGGAAGAGGCATGAGAGCCCAGTCATTTTAGTACTGGTGGTTGTTACGAAGGAATGCATGAAAACATAGATACAGCTCGGAATCTTCCCTGGTTTACCAGCATGCAGTCTAGATTTGGTTCCCTTTACTGTTCTTGTATATTCCAGAAGCCGAAAGCACCATCACTCATGGAGGTGGCATCTGGGTAAGAGGATTAATTGGGACTTCACAAAAATGTGAAAGACCTAGTCATTGACTTTGCTTAGAATTTTACTAATCATTTCAAGGAAGCTGGAGAAATCATTCCTTGTTACTAACAAATTCATGGCCAAGTCTTTGTCTACTAGCTAACAAAGACCACCTGGAAAAATTAGCCTATTTGCAGACAAGGAGAAAATTCTATAATTTATCTTTGTGCACGTCAAAAGAGTACCAGGAACAAGCAAGCTATAAAAGTTAATCTCTTTAAATTCACTTAGAGGAGATTAACCAAAGCAGCATTGTCTTATAATCAGACATTAGAATTAACATATACATAAACATACAAAACTAATAATGCTAAATACTGTAACAGGAACAAGATAATATTTGAACTGAATTCACAGTCTGGAAAATACCATTACTATTTTCCTTCTGGCTTTCCTTCCTGTGGCTGGAAAAGCAAAGCCCCTTAGTTTACACTTCATTTTCCACCAATGACAGTTAAGAGTCCAAAAAAGTGACTTTTTTATGAGCTTCCTGCAGGCTATAGGTCAGGACATTTGGAATTTCTCTTGCATAGTTTTCAGTGATTGCATATTGGCCAACAATTATGTCTTAAATTAAAAAAAAATCTTTAAATAAAAGGAAAGAAAATAATTAAATCATAGCAATCTTGTTTACTCTTTCATGAAATCTTCCTAATGCAATATCACAGAAGCCTAATAGAATTTTCTCCTAAAGAGAAGAATAATTTCCAGAGATTACGTAGTGCAACTGGTTAATTTGCAGGAAAGAGACAACACACTGATATAACTTCACCACCCAAATGTAGGAAATGTGTTTTGGGTACCCAGTTAATAAAATATATCCATAGTCTGCAATGTCCTTCCTGTTTTATATCCAGTAAAACCCTGTGATTCTAGTTGAAGAGAATGGAATCAGGATCTTGGTTCGCCATCTGTGCTATATGCTTTAGCACATCCTTTTTGGTAATGATCCCAAGCAATCGCCTAAAAGATAAAACAAGATAACAAACAAAAATCAATTTGTAGCTAAAATAACATTCACAAAGGTGACACTTTTCCTCCTCTGTCATTTTCAACTTCGTCTTAGAACACAATTTGCACTTATAAAATGATAATAGGACTAGATTACATATACCAGGTAAATGGACAAATGCATGGGTCCCTTTAAGCATTATTTCCTCTAGGTGTTAGGTCCTGCTATTTCCTGTGTATATTACTCTCTATATATACAAGTCTTACCTTTCATAACCCAGTTCAAATATTCCTTTTCCAGAACACCTTTCCTGATCCTACGAGCCAGAACTAACTGTGCCCTCCTCCTAGGAAAAGTATGTTCTGTGCACATCTCTTCTGTAGCATTTGTCCAGTTTGCTCTGTTATCAGCTTCCCTAGAACACTGTATACTCCCTGAGGGCAGACAGTGGTCTCTTTGATTTCTGTTTCTCCCCAGAATCTAGTGGAATATGTTCCTACATGAAGTTCAGATTTAGTTAAGATTGAATGAACCAGTTAGGGAAAGTCCCCTTACTGATTTCAATTCTGCACGACATCTGTTACATTATTCAGAAATTTTCAAGAGTGCAATTCTTATACAATCACTAGATTAACATTACCATGTTCACACAAGCACACACACACATACACAAAAACCCACCCTTCTCCTCAACCTGCTTTTTTTTTCCCAATAAAAATAACATGGCTTCCTTTACTTGATAAGAAATATCTCAGAAAGAAAGAGCCTTAGCCATAGGAGTCAGAAGACTTGTGTTTAAAGCCTACTTCAACTAGACATCAACTGGGGTGTCCTTGTGCAAATCTTTAAACCTCACTTGAACCTGGTTTTCTCACCAGTAAATAATAACGATGAAGGTATTGTAAGGATGAAATAACATACATGTACTACCTAGTACCATTTAAATTTCAGTGCTGCCTGTTCATAAGAACACAATTATTTCCTTTGTAGGGGAGGAACTGAGTTATTTATGATGTGCAACCAGCAGTTCACGTCTCTCAAACCCACTATCTTCCCCAAACGTCTTCTCTATTATGACAATGAGAGAAACATATCCATCTTCATCTCAGAGTTTCCAAAAGGTCTATAAGTGCTACTAATGTTCCTGTGAGTTGGGCTCTTCCTTCTTTAATCTCTCTACATTCTCTTTCTTCTCCTAACCCAATCTGATTTCACCAAAGAGCTCTCACCCATTGTGTGTAACCAGGCATTGCCGCAGTCCCAGCTTGCGGAAGATATCCACCACAATCTCCATGGGCGTAAGGTCAGTCACAGTGAAGGGGCTGAGATCCAAGATGTTCCGAAGCTTGAGGGTAGGTGGGGTGTATGGTGGCACTGGAGGAGAATGCTCAGTGAAATAAATGATGGAAGTGCTCACAACTCCATCCTGCTTTTTTCGAGCATTTTCTATTTGAAAAAAGTAGGGGGAAAAAGGTTGAAAAAGGAAGGACTGATTCTATCCTTCTGGCCCCTAACCGATCCCCTCTCCCCTCTGTCTTCCCCATTTCATGCATGCATGCTTATTTATTGTATAGTTGATATACAATGCTGTGTTATTTTGAGGTGCACAGCAAAATGATTCTGTTCTATGGGCTTCCCTGGTGGCTCAAATGGTAAAGAATCCGCCTGCAACGTGGGAAACCTGGGTTCAATCCCTGAGTTGGGAAGCTCCCCTAGAGAAGGGAATGGCTACCCACTCTAGCATTCTGGCCTGGAGAATTCCATGGACAGAGGAGGCAGGCTACAGTCCATGTGGTTGCAAAGAGTCGACATGACTGAGCAACTTTCACATACACACACACATACAAATATATATATATATATATATATATATATATACACGTTTTGTCAGATTCTTTTCCATTACAGGGTGTTATAAGATACTGAGTATAGTTCCCTGTGTGATACAGCAGGTCCTTGTTGGTCATCTATTTTATATATAGTAGTGTATGTCTGTTAATCCCAATCTCCTAATTTATCCCTCCCCTCCCCTCATGCATATTTATTTATTATTTCTATAGTGGACCTCCCCTTGTCCCCTTTATGAAATCCTTACCAATTGAAATAATGAGGTCTCTTCGGAGGACAAAACCCACAAGTCTTTGGGACTCCCGGGACACCACCACTGGGAAGCCACTATAAGTTGTTTCACTGATTATGGTCTCTACATCTTCCACGGTCATACTGTCCTGAGTAAGGACAGTCAACAAAGGATCATTTCTCCGGGGTTTCATCACATCCATTGCCAGGGTCTTATGAGCAAACTCTTCTTTGGCTTCAAGAAAGGGGTACCCATTGAGACGGATGTGGGCATCATAGATGCCCTCCCGCCCAAGAGCATCTGCCACCCACTTGCTTGTCATAGCTGCAGCCATTAGAGGCACAATATATTCCAAGCCACCAGTTAGTTCAAACATTATGACAACAAGAGAAACAGTCATCCGAGTCACCCCACCTGCAAAAACAGACAACAGGCTACTTAGTGAAGGCAGGAAAAGTATAGGATTCATTACAGTTATGGGCCTGTCACAGGCCCCATCCAGAAAAAGTTACTTATCAGAAACATCACTAAAAGGAGGCCCTCACCTACAACTGCATAGACTCCTGCAACTACATTCAAACAAGTTTACAATGGACATGAGTCACACTTCTCAAAATAACCTCTACAAAAGATACCTCCTTCACTCTTTTTTTCATTTGTTTGTTGCTCCCCACCAACTCCCAATAATAAAAGTAATTGCATAAGATGTCTATGATTTATATAAAACCACAGATGTGAGAGGTTCTCTGGGACATGCAGGCCCACTGTAGAATAACTGCAAACTATATATATCTTTAAAGTATATAAATGAAAGTCTTACCTGTAAACTCACTGCCTAGAAATATGCTGAGTAAAAATTTCAAGTGACTTTTTTTCAAAAACATGTTTTTATATAGATGAATTTGTATTATTTGTTTAAATTCCCCACCATGCCTTTTATCCCAACTTTATGTTAGGAATACTTTGTATATTAGTACAAATTTATTTACATTGTATTTAAAAATATTAAACACATTAGCATCACATTCAGTGGCTCCATGGAATAGCGTTATATGGATGTACCATAAAACCAGTCCCTTATTGCACTTTTAGGTTGATTACAGTTATTTGCTATTACACATAATACCATGATGAACATTCTTGTGCAGGTATTTTTGTCCAAATTTCTGGTTTCTTCCTCAATATGACAGAATTTGAGAGAATTCCTCTCAAAGGGGAGGAATGGAGATATATGGTAAAGAATGCCTTCTTAAAGCACTTGAAAATGGCAAACCCAACAAGAAATGGATAGTTTATTTTATTTTTAAAACCTACAGTCAGTCATGCATAGTATAACTCATCTTTATAATGCCATCTTGGTAGCAATTTCTTTGAAATCAATGCAAACAATACTCACCTAAGCAGGCTGCAGCCCCAACCATAGCATAAAGGCCAGGGGTGATGCAATCTGCTCCTTGACTGCACCAGCTATTGAAGATGGCCCAGTCATGGTGGTAATAAGCCAGCTGTTCCATCCCAACTCCCAAAAGCCGACCTGCTATAGCACCAACAGCCATGCTAGGGATAAAGAGACCAGAAGGAATCTGCAAAGAGAAAGCAACAGATGGTCAGTGAGAAGTGATGTAATTACGTGGCTCATAAGGACTAGAGGACTGACCCTCTGCAAAGCGAACAGGCCAATGACAATCTAACTATGCACTATGCTAGCAAATGGCTGCAAAGATTTGTGTAACACTACAGGGACTAGAGGTTCTCTGAGACGTGCAGGCAAGTACAACTGCAAAGATGCTTACCCTGATTCGGAGTCCATCAGGCAAGAGCCTGAACTCTCCAGACCAACACAGAACTGGAGGTAGAAATTAAGCCTTTCCCAAAGAAAAAGGAAAATAGATGGAGTTTCTCATATATGCAGACAGTTTACCCAATTTTGAATTCTTATCAACAGCGATTACCCTTTATTGACTATCTACAATGCTCTATGCTGGATGCTCTACAGACTGGATTTTGTGGGTTTTTTATAATCACCCCAAGAGGCGGGTGTTACTATCCTCAACTCACAAAGGATCTAAGGTACAGAGAGGTTAAGAACTCATCTAAGGCCAAGATTTAGTAAATGTTGCTGATGGGGTTTAAATGCAATGCTTCTAATCACTCTCATGTATTGAATCTTTATCCACTGCCCACACAAAAAGGATGGCACATGAGGTTTCAGTTTAACAGTATAAAAGAAAGAATAAAAAAGTTTTTTAATGAGGTAGTGACTATGGTTGCATGACTATCCCAAAAAGGAACCCCCATCTGTCTCCTGACTCTTTTTTTTTGAACTCCTAGAATGTAATTGGGGCTTTCCTGGTGGCTCAGTCAGTAAAGAACCCACCTGCAATGCAGGAGACACTGGTTCAATCCCTGGGTCAAGAAGATCCCTAGAGAAGGAAATGGCAACCCACTCTATTATTCTTGCCTAGGCAATTCCATAGACAGAGCAGCCTGGTGGGCTACAGTCTATGCGGTTACAAGAGTCAGACATGACTAAGGGACTAAACCACCACCACCAGAATACAATAGTGCATTCTCAAATTTCTGTGCTAAGAGAGGGAAAATGATGACAGGGATAACCCAAACAGCAGATTATTTTAAAACAACTTTGATTCTAGAATATATTTGAATTGGGGTGGGTCTGATGGTCTGCAAATTCACTTTTAAATCAAAGAATGAAGCCATGAGGTGCAAAGTAACTCAAGAAGCACTGCAAATCTGTTCAACATGTTTAGGATGGATATGAATTCAGAGATTACTGTACTCCCTAAACTGCATTGTTGGCCCTTATTTTCTGTTTTGAATCTATTTCTCTAGAGAATAGAGGAAATACATTGGTAGTTGAGTGCTAAAGAAAAGAAGGGCTTCCCTGGTGGTTACAGATAAAGAATCTGCCTGAAATGGAGGAGACTCAGGTTCAATCCCTGGGTCAGGAATATCCCCGGGTCTGGAAGATCCCCTGGAGAAGGTAATGGCAATCCACTCCAGTATTGTTGCCTGGACACATAAAAACCAAGGAAGATGAGGAAAAAACAAATTTTCCTTCTTGATTTCCTCTGACACATGGAAATTATAACAAGTACTGAAAATAAAAGATAATGTCCTGATATCAGCTTTTGATAGTCTAAATATTAATTCAGGGTCACCTATGCAGTTCTTAATAATTGGACACTGATAACAACTGTAAAAAATACATTTAGCTATATATTGGGTTGAACCATATGAAATTGCTATTTCAGTGGTTCAAATGGTTGGCAACTTCAACCAACTACTTTGCTTTATTGGTAAACTCCAAAGCCACTTTATAAGGGCCAAAAATGTGTTGGTCAGATATTGCTTTGATACAAAATGCACTGGGATAAATACCTCACCATCCTTTTTGAGCGGCAAAATATGTTTTCCACAAAAAAGGAGAAAACATTTCTACTTTTAAAATCTCATCACCAAGGTTTGCATTTGGCCTAAAACTAGGCTTGGACAATTTTAGATAGCCATACAATTGTCTAAGAAGTTATGAGGATATTGAGGGTATGTGCGGGTAAAAGGGGCCTTGGGGTGGGGTAGTGGATAACGCTGGGTGAAATTGGACATACCCCATGAACTATGAGAATTTTATAGTATTGTGGCTTTGCCCTGAAAACCTATAGACACACAAATATCCAGGAAGGACCAAAAGAATCTCCTCACCTTCATGCCAAAGGTGAATATAGTGATGACAATTTTCAGTATGAGTGTCAAGGCCAGCTGCCACATTGCACTGTAGACTCCCACGCCAGCTGGTCTGTCGGGCAGCTCACCCGCCTTGCTTGTGTTGAAACGGTTCTCATAATCACAGAGTTTGGAGGAGTCCAGGAGGCCACAGTCATTGAACAGCTCAGAGATGAGCTCACTTGTGCTCACTCGGGTATACTCATTGGGGAAAGCCAGGATGGCAGTGATGGCTGTCACGACAAGAACCTCTACGACAGGATACTTGCCCAACTGGGTTGTCTTCCGCTTCCGACACCAGGCAATGTTGGTGCGGATAAACAGAGCTCCCCACAGACCACCAAATATGCCCAGCAGAATGAAGGGCACAAGCTCAAAGAGATGCCACGGGGTGTGAAACTCCACATAAAATAGAACCAGGCGGCTGTTCCCAAACGGATTGATGGAGCGTAGAGTGAATGCTGCCACTAAAGCAGCAAAAAATGAACGCCACAGTGTTTTGAGGGGAAAGTAGTAGCTGACCTATAGGAGAAAAAGGGAGAAAATCAACTCAAGTGAATATGCAGGAACTATTTGGGGTGAAAAAGTGTGCTATGGCAATTAGAGCTGAGGATGAAAATGGCCTGGAAATCTCTGGTCCCGTGGCAAAGCACTGAAGTTGGGCAGAGCACTTTGGGACACAGACCATTTATACACAGACAATGGCCAGAATTTCTGGCACAAAATCACAAGCGTGGCTCTACAGACAGATAAAAGCAGTTACCTCTTCTAGGCTGAATAATACTCCACCAATAGGTGCCCCAAAGGCTACAGATACACCAGCAGCGGCAGCAGCTGACAAGACCTATGATTCAAAACTCAAAATTAGTGATCGAATAAGGCCACTTTCCCACCTTCAGTCACATTTTAAAAGGAATATTACCAAATGTAAACAAACAAAAAAAACTTTACCTGCTCTATACCCAGCTTATCAAAACTGAAGTTCAAAATATATTTACTTTGAGAGGAAACACTATCTGCTGAATCTTGAACCCATGGTTCACATGCTGGAACACCTAGAGGGCCTTTTCTTTGTAATTAATTTAGGCATGTACTTGATTCCAAATTATGCTCCCATCCCCCATACTCCCAATTCCACAACTGATTTATGGTCTGTAAGACCTATTCACCACCTAAATGAAATGTTTCCAGTTATGTGATTTACATAGCACTTTCTTTATAAAGAAAAGCTTTTAAAATGAGATTTTAAAGATAGCTCTAATGATACAAACTTCAAATAGCGATTGGCTCACAGCTAATCAGGAGCTGCAAATATTCAGACAAGAGGTATTTAGAGTTTCCTGTACTATGTGCCCTACTCCACACCTAGTGACCTATGGAAACAGAAATAGGAGGGTGACTTGAAGCAAAGTTGGGGATAGATTTTGAAGGGAACAGTCCTAAGACCTAAGTGTGTCTAGGTATGGCAAGGAAAAAGGTAAGGAGAGAGAGAAAGAGGAAGAAGCTGTCAGAGAGAAATTAAAAGGGACAAGGAGGTGGGGAAAGAGAGCAAGTGATATTTCAAGAGTACCATCTTTGTATGTAGTAGCCACAGGCATGTGAATGTAAAAGGTGCATGATAAACACACCAACACACCAGAATTAATAGACTGAGAAAGTTAGTTTGTTGGATTCTGGTTTCTGTGGAATGATATATGATGTGTGGTATCAAGGGGCTATTTTTAAAAGGAAGTTGAATAAAACTGACAGTTTTTAAAGGGAAAAAATAGCTCTTGGCAAATAGGTAGGTTTCTCTGGAAGTGCAGGATGTCCCAGGAAAATGAAGGGTGTTGGGGAAAGATCTCTGGTGCGAGCTGGGGAGGACTCCAAAATTCAAGACTAGAATAGCTTTCATCTAAGAAGGATGAGGACATTTAACACAGAACTTGAGAAAGGGGATTTCAGTGACTTTGTTTAGGATGAATTATCAGGGAGAAGGAATAGTTGAACTGGCCAATAAGTTGTGGAGTGCAGTCTATCTATGCCCTGCTTTCTCAAATCTCTTATTTTACACTCAACCATCTGGCCACTATGACAAGGCCCGAGGACATAAAAGGGTTACTGCTGATGGTGAGAACACCAGGAAAAAATAACTGCAAACTCTAAATAAGCAATAAGAAGTGAATGACATATTCAACTATTCATGTGTTTAGTTAGAAATATATGATATCTGTATGGAAAAACAGCCAAATCAAACTCCTCTTTCATTTTATAAGAACTGTTTGAACAAAAATGCCAATTTTATATGAAATAAAATGAAAGTAATTACCAATCTACAGTTTCAAAGTCACCTCTACTTATGCAAAACCAGCAACAGTCAACACTTTACTCTTGCCAGTTAAAATGTTTTTTTTCATCTCTTTAGCTTCTGTTATATATTATTCCTATCTAACAACTTCACCAATATAAGACTGCCTTTATGTATTTGACAGATAGCTAAACAACCTACTCGGATTTCCTTCTCTCTCTCCTGCTAGCCTACCTCTCCTGCCAGGAACTTTTCCCCTTGAACCATCAAAATGTATTCCATATTTGAAATTTCAATATCTTTGAATTTTCTTCTGAGTCTTATGGGGAATTTTGTTTTCTTTTGCTTTCAGAATAAATCACGAGGTTCTAATTTTGTGAAAAATCCTCTTTAATGAAATAACCTTGGTCTTGACCTATTCCATATGTGATTTCTTTGTAATTCAAGGGAAAAAAAATCAAGAACCATTATTTTCTCAAATTCTTAATTATAGCAGGAAAAAAGTAACCAATGACTTGGAACTTCTTAAAAAATGGTCTTCCTCCTCAAAATGACATACATTAACAACTGTATAAACATGAGAACAACTATAGAGATACTGCAGTGGGACTAATTTGTAGGGCTGAGATGGAAGGCAGGGAGAGAGAAATCTAATACAGAGAAACAAATACAGTATGCTGTTAGGTGGAAATAAAAGGTAGAAAAGCTGGCATCTGAAACACATGCTGAACCTATATTCTTTCACAGGAATAAACTTCTTTAAAAAGTCTTCCATGATTTCTGCAACTTATTTTGTAACAGAAATCACACATGCTTGTATAGAATTATATATTATAAAAAGTTAAAGTCTTTACTTCTTCCTCACTAGCATCTACCTCACTTTCCCCCTCACCAGAAGCAGACTCTTTTTTTTAAACAGTTTGGGGTGAAACCACTTCTCAGCCATTTTTTCTAGGAGCAAATATACACACTTTACAAAAACATTAACTGACTTTTACTATACACGTTATTCTGAGATTGGCTTTTGAAAGTTGAATGGTATTTTATAGCCATCATTCCATGTTAGTATACATAGCATTATCTCATTAACAGTTGCATAGGATTCTAGAGTATGGAGAGAATATTGTTTACTCAGTCAGTCCCCCACTGATGGCCATTTGGATTGCTTCAGTTTTTCACTATGTTGACAGATGCTGCACTGCCTATCCCCACACACCTTTGTGCACACATGGTAGAATGTCTGCAGGATAAATTTCTAGAAATGGAACTTCTGGGTCAAAGAGTATTTGCATTAACACCGGTAGAATCCCCCAATTCTCATCACTAAAATTGTACCATTTGCGCTCCCACCAAAAAAAAAAAGAGAGAGAGACTGGTAAGGTCATTTGTTATTACCTCTCTGCGCTTGGCTTCATTCTTCCGGTATTTGTTGAAGCAGTGGCATAGGATGTTCCCACAGCAGCAAGCCACGTGCACTAGGGGGCCCTCTTTGCCCAGGCTCAGGCCAGATGACACTGCCAGTACCAGTGTGATGGTTTTGATCATCAGGGTCCACTTACCCAAATAGCCCCTAATAATGAAACCACTCAAGATAGTTTTTATCTGCAGGTTAAACATGGATTGAACACAGAGTAAGTAAGGAAACAAGGTTAAGAAGCAATAAATCTGGTCCTTATTATAGGACCTTTTAAGCCTTTTAAACAAGTGCACCTTTTAAACAAGTGATACAATCAGGTGGCCGGTTAGCTCAGTTGGTTAGAGGGTTGTGCTAATAAACAAGTGATACATAAAAGCTTGAAACAGTGACTCAAGTTTGGGAGGGGACCCAGGATCCCAAGAAAATGAGAAATGTTCTTAAAAGTTTTATGCTCCCTCATTTTGGAGGCGGGGGGCATGTGATAGCTGGGCAAGGGAGTACTGTTAAGTATGAGAGTGCATGTGTGTGGAGAAGGGGCAACTGAGAGGGAGGGTGTTTTTCTTACTTTCCCTTACTAGTATAGCCTTGACTCTCTGCCAAAAAATCTGTAGCTATCACTTGATCAGGAAACCGAGAGAGGCAAAGCCATCCAAGCAACCTAAAATCTCAGTGGTTTCAGTCACTGTCAAGTAATCTAAACCAAAAGTCATTAGAAATAGGGTTTTAACCACCCTCCTTCTAGCCCAAATCATGTTGTAAAAAATGTAGCAAAATAGTTTCATTTCTTCTGCTCTAAAAAAAGTTGACAGTACCACTATTTTTTTCAGACCAGAATCCTGCAATCGACCCTAAAAGCTTCTTGGTTAGGGAGTTGGGGAATTCTTCAGGGGACTGGTTCACCAGGAACCCATAGGAGGCTAGGAATCAACTTCCTTTAAATGTCTATGTGGCCCAGTCTAGGAGGAAACTTAAGGGAAGATCTAGAAAGGCCCTAGACTGCCTCGGGATCTGATTTCATTTAATATTCAACTGCAGTATATGCTGGAATACATATTAAATGGTTTTAACTAAAAAGGATTATTGTTACCACTTATAAACCATTATAGACACTCACCTCAGGGATTCCAGAGCCACAGGCATAAGGTGCAAACACCTTGACAAGAGATACAGCAAGGAAGGCAAATAGGAGAGCCCAGAGGACGTACATGAAATAATTGACTATGTAGGCAAAGGCTCCCTGGAACAGAGGGAAAAGAAAGAAGCTGGTTTTAGCCTAGATGCCCTCAGTGAGGCATGCAGCTCTTAAGTAATGGGTTTTCAGGACAGGAGGTCAGAAAACAAACAAACAATATTAAATTGCTCAAAATGTTTCTTCCAGACCTTCAGCAAAGCAACTACTAAAACACTGTCAGCTCATTTGCTACAGAAAATGAGAGGCTTTTGCTCCACCCGAAGGAAACTGAGGATGGCTTCTAAGGATGGACAAGAATGAAAATGCAAATTCACTTTCCATATGAGTGCTTTGATAGATTTTGTAGTCAAATATATATATACTATGTCAATTTCATTAAAAGTCTTAGCAGTCCTTTTATTGGAATGACTGAACCTTGGCTACACATTTCAAGTGAAGTTTGGCTCTAGAATTCCATTAAATTCACCTTTGGCTACTATCTACCTTGGTGTTAAATTCTCATAGGCGGTTATAAAATTCTTGGGTGTTTTTCTTAAAATAAGCAATGATACTCTGTAGAGATGACCACATCTTTGAGAGAATTTTGCCACTGTAGTAGCAAAATTGTAGTCGTTGAGTAGCAAGAATATGCAGTAAAACGTTTTGGGCTGTGACCATCAGACAAAATCAGTGAGATGTCAGATAGCCCAAAGAATAAAACAGAGATGACTACTTTTTAAAATGGAAATAATATATTTATCTTATATAAGAATATATATATTTTTATATATTATAATAAAGTCTGCCAGAAATCTAATTTTGACCATTAGTAAGGATTCACCACCATTAAAAGCCTTGCAAAATAGCTATGCCTTAAAAAAAAAAACATTTTGAACATTGGCATATGATGCTTGGTGATAGAAATATTATAAGTTGAAACTCACTCAAATTACATGGGTCACAAAACTCAGTGGACTTTTGGTATCTTAAAACCTAAAACACTATCAAAAAAATTCATTGACCTAGACGAGGAGAACTAACACTCAGGTTTTTTTTCTGCGTTATAATTTTGACATAGGCTTCCCATTATTTTAGTCTCTGAGAGGAACAAATGATTGCTCTCTCTTAGCCTTTAGAATATAGCTAGGGAGGAAGAATACTCTACCAGCAGGAAACAAAGAGGAAAGGGGAAGAAAGGAGAAGTGGCTGAAACTGACTAGAAGCAGAGACCAGGAGGCCAAGTTCTTGGCAGCAGAACTCTTTTTAAAACCTAGAACTAACTCTCCCCAGGTAAGGATTTCACTCATTAAAAGGACAGTCAGAGAAAGTTATCATTTGAGCAAATCTCCAATTTGAAAGTTACGGTTGGAACAACACACACATACATAGCTCTAAAGGAGTAGCTTGGGGGAGCCTTGTGGTGACGGAATAACACTTCTACATTTTGATTGTGGTGGTGGCTACACAAATCTATATATGTGCTAAAATTACAGTGAACTGTGTGCATGCACACACACACTCACTCTCTCACTCTCTCTCTCCTTCCCCCTCTTTCTCTTCTATGCTCATAAAATGGGTGAAAATAAGGTCTGCAGGTTGCAACAATGTCACATTCTTTGTTTTGCTAGTATACTATAAACACTTTGACCACCTGATGTGAAGAGCCAATTCATTGGAAAAGACCCTGACGGTGGGAAAGATTGAAGGTGGGAGAAGGGGATGACAGATGGTTGGATGGCATCACCAACTCAATGGACATGAGTTTGAGCAAACTCTGGGAGATGGTGAAAGACAGGGAAGCTTGGCGTGCTGCAGTCCATGAGGTCACAAAGAGTCGGACATGACTGAGGGACTGAACAACAACAAATACCTAAATGTTAGGGGCTTCCCAGGTGGTGCTAGTGGTTAAAACCTGCCTGCCAATGCAGGAGACGTAAGAGACACGGGTTTGATCCCTGTGTTGGGAAGATCCCCTGGAGGAGACCATGGCAATCCACTCCAATATTCTTGCCTGGAGAATGTCATGGTCAAGGGAACCTAGCAGACCACAGTCCATAAGGTTGCAAAGAGTCAGTCACAACTGAAGCGACTTAGCACACATGCACACATACTTATGTCATGACTGGGGGTGGCTGGGTGAAGGGTATGGGGACCTTCCTGTACCTTGCTTTGCAACTTCCTGGGAATCTATAACTACTTCAACAATAAAAGAGTTAAATCAAGGGAATCACTCACACACACACACACACACACACACACACACATACACAGACTCATGCTAAATTCCAGGGCTTCTCAAACTTCTCTCCATCCGAGAGGATGGGGGTGGGGTACCCAGACAGGAGCAGAGCTGAAATAGAGATTCTGTTTTATCTTAAAGATGGAAATCCTTCATTCCTTTATAACAATTGTTTACATTTAATTTTTGAAAAAAAAAAATCTCTTCCAAATACTTGGGAAACACTGATACTCTGGGAAGGCACACAGCACATATGCTGAGGTTTCACATACCCTCCGGTATGCTGACGTTAACCCGGTTTGAGAAGCACAAACATAAACTTCTCACACGTATAGTATGCAGTTAATCCTCTAATTGACCTCTTTCACAAGCCAATATGCATAGTCAGATATGTACATAAATAATCTTATTTCTGACATTATTTTCTTATCCTTCTTTTGCCTTGACTGAGTCTGTGGTGGAGTGGTGTGCCCTTCAAATTGTTCGTGGACAAAGTAGGTATGAAAATAAATTTTAAAAGTACAAACAACTATTCCAGTCTTGTCCTTCTCACTTTACTAACACAGTAGATGAGGAGTGAACTGAGATGGCACCTGTTTTAGAAGTACCTGTATAGAAGCCAGAGTGGAATTGGGAGTTGAGTTATTTCATGTGCTTTTATGTTCAGTAGGAGAGATCTAACACACAAATCAAGTAGTAAGAGAAAGGTAAGGAACTGAAAAACAAAGTTACTTTTATATCCAAAATGATTTGCTAGAAGACAAGGACAAATGAAATTTTAATTTAATTTCAAAAGGGGATCATGAACAATTTCATTCCTGGGTTTCTGCTATTTTGCTAAGGAACATACTTTTTTAATGTTCTAACACAATGCTCAGGGAAAATTTGCTTAAACACATTTTTAACCCATTACATCTTTTGTTAGAAATTATAGCTTATCTGTTGGCTGACTATGGCATTTCTATGGAAATTACTAGAGAAAGATTCAGTCACACCGTGTACTAACAACTAAGAAGAAACACGGTTTGTTAAAACAAGCAAAAAACAAATTATGTTGTTGTATAAGCATCAAACTCCACATGTCAGAAGATATAGAAACAGGGCTGCACTTAAACCACAGAGAAAGGCAGCTGGCACTGGTTCCCCTTTTCCTGAAAAGGAATGTAAAGGAAGATTCCACAATTGCCACGAGGACAGTATAAGAAATGAAGTAAATGTAAGAATAATTAAGTCAGCAGTTCAGAAATCTTCACCATGTGTTACCTCATTCGTGCTGATAATAAGCTGGGACCAGCTATTCCACTCTGGGCATTTGTCTCTGTTTTCAAAGGTGACATGCTTGGAGTTCCAGCAACAGTGTTCATGGTTAAACCAGATTCCTGATGTGCATATACCTTCTTTTAAGTCTGTCATCCAGTGAGCAGAGATGTCTATCAAGCCAGCTAGGGAACCTGATTTGAGGGAAGGGAAGGAAAGGTTACAGTTGTGAGAGAAAATAAGGGAAAAGGAATCACAATAATGGACAAGTATATACATTCTCATTCTGTCTGCAACCTCCTTTGCAACCTGATTGTCTGCCTGCTTCCTACCTATTATCTCTAATAGATTTTACCTGTTTCGAATGCTTGTTCAAGAGGGAAAAAAAGCATTGTCTGCACTAAACACTGTGTCTGCAGAATTTCTATATGGGAAACTTAGAAGAGAGCAAAGTGGTTGGGTTGGGGGTGTGGAGTGAGTGGATTTGACTTTTAGCTGCCTCACCTGGCAAAGACTCTGCTTCTGAGAGTTGATGAAGACTGATCCATAAAGAAAGTCAAGTTTCTTAAAGATTGTTTTATTCTCACTTTATACATAAGACAGAAATGTGAACTGCCCATGTTGAAGAATATTATATGACATGTATTTGAGATGGCTTGATGGGGGAAGCTGATGAAAACTATGAGAAGGGCTGTCTTGATACTGATTTGGCACCAGGAACGAGGGAATTTGAGCAATGGCAAAAGCATTCTAGGCTAAGGGAACGAAATTTATAAAAGCACAAATTGTGATGTACATGGGAGATGAGATGAAGCTATAGGCAGGCTGAAGCCTTCTGAGCCTAGGGCATGAATTTCTGGTTTTCTTAGTGAGATGAAGCAAAAAATATTTTATATAGATCATTCCTCAAAGAAAATTATGAGAATGAATGAGGATTCATGCACTATGGCTAATAGACTGATAGGGTTAAGATAGCTATAATACTTTCAATTCTGGCCTTCTCATCATTTCTGTTATCCAGATGAAGAAACACTGGAATAAAGAAATTAAATGGTCTAGAATCGTGCTTTAGGGAAATAGCAAAGACATCATAAAATTCACAGCCCCTGAATTCCCACACTGTTCCTGCATTCAGACACACTGCTTCTATTGTTGCCCTCCAATGCTTAAAAACAAAATACCCTGTGTGTATGAAGGGAAGAAAAATATTCACTGACCACCTAGTGACAAGACATACATTAAAAAGTTGAGGATATTACGCCTATGTTCCAACAGGCTGGAGGCCATGCCGTGTGTATGTTTTGGTAGGTGCTAAGAGTGTTAATACAGGTTATTTACACACTTGAACAACCTAGTCAAATCTGACAAACTGTTTGAACCTACTCTCAGCCACTCCAGCCCCCATCGTCTCTTCCTTCTAAACCCTATTGCACTTATTGCCTGAATTCAGAAAACTAAGTGATGTTAAAGAGTTTGGCTAATTCTCTGGTTGTTTCACGTGTGTATGTCTTATTCTACCTAACCCTGGTACCCTGCATCCTATCTTCCCTTCTGTCTCCCTCTTCTTTTCCCAGTTGGCTCTTTCTTCCCTGGTTATGAATTTTAACAGGTTTCCCCTACCCTAAAGAATGCAGTGCTTCCACCTGTCCATGCTACCGTTTCATGCTTCTGTCCCTTCTCTCCTTCCAATGACTACCCAGTAGCTCCAAAACTTCTACAGTGGTTGCCTCCCCTTTAAATCTGGCTCCTGGGACTCCCTGGTGGTTCAGTGGTTAGGACTTGGTGCTTTCACTGCCAGGGCCCAGGTTCAATCCCTGGTCTGGGAGCTAAGATCGGGCAGGCGACTAGGTGCAGCCAAAAGAAAAAAAAAAAATCTGGCTACTAATATTTATCTAAGATTTTTTTCAAGGTCACTTGTATCCTCCTAACTGCTAAACTATATAACCCCTTCTCAGCCCCCTTCCTTCTCTTCAGCCTCTGTGTAATATTTGACATTACAGCCCACTCAGTCTATTATGAGCCAGCTCTAAACTGTCCAGACCATATTCTCTCTTCTGTATGAGCCAGAGAATGGGCAGCATTAACACCGTAGACCATGGGTGGGCAAACTATGGCCTGAGGGTCAAATCCACCTCTGTGTTTTTAAATACAGCTTTTCTTGGTCACAGTCCAGCTTGTTTGTGTACCTACTATCTATGGCTACATTTGTACTATAGAGACCATTTGGCCCACAAATCCTAAAATATTTAGTCTGGCCCTTTATAGAAAAAGCTTGCTGACCCCTGGCCCAGAAATAATCTTTGAAAACTCTGCTATGAATGAGCAGTTTCTCATTTGCTGTGATCTTTCTCTTTTTTTTTTTAGCAAATGGACCTGCAGAAATTTAACTGATGTAGAAAACACAGGATTGTCACCAGATTTGGCTGTAACACACGAGCTGTTACCAAAGCACACAGAATGAATCAAATAACAAACTGGATTTACTATGTGGTAGCCTGATGTCGCAAAAGTATCTGGGGGTAAACAAGCCTACTGGATCTTAGTTTCCTATCCCATGACAAAGAAATGAGGGGTGGGATGGTGGAGAGTTAGTTTCTATGCATTGGAGAGGCAAGGGCAATGCCACAGCGTTCAAGAAAAATGGGGGTGTTTTATGTAAACAATGTGGCACATGGTGAACATCCCCTGCATGTCCCCCCGAGGAGCCCACTGATCGGAGACGGGGCTGCAGGGTGCTATGACAGAATGGCAGCAGCTCCCACTAGCTGCTGTGATCATTTTACACCCCACAGCTCATGAATTATCTCTAAGTAACAGCAGCATGTGAACAACTGAGTGCTGTGCTGAGTGCTATATATGTTGTACTTCATTCAATTCTCACAGCAAATTTGCAAAATAGGTACTCTTATTATCCCTATTTTACAAGTCAGTAAACTAAAGCTTTCAAGGGTTAAGAAACCTGCCTAAAGTCACAAAACTAGCAATTGGTGGGGCTGGGATTCAAATTCAAGAAGCCACAAACTAGAGCCTGTGCTGTTAACTACCATTCCATCCCAACCACCTCCTGATTTCCCACCTAACTTCTATTTAGCTCATTATTCCCAGTCTTCCGAGGCCCATTTTTTTTTAAATGCCACGGGGATATAAATCTCAGCATTTCTGCCTGGTATTCTTGGTTTTCTGCTTCCGCCACAGGAAGGGAAGTCTGCTTAGGGACCTGTTTTGAAGCTGTATTGCATAGCAAGTATACTATTCCTAGACAGACCATATAGTTGGAGTGGCTTAGGAGCTTGATGGAGAAGACAGGAAAAGGTAGTACCATCCCAGTCCTCAACCACCATGAAAGAATAAGAGTGTAGGCCCCTTAAGGGTATGAGCCATGTCCTACATATTTTACCCCTAAATGAAGACAGAAGATGTTTAAGAAGTAACTACAAAAATCTTTCAAGAAGTCCTCTTCTACATCTTCTTTCCTAAATCCCACGTGAAAGAAAGCAAAAGTTTTAGTCACTCAGTCATGTCTGACTCTTTTGCAACCCCATGGACTATAGCCCGCCAGGCTCCTCTGTCCATAGGATTCTCCAGGCAAGAATACTGGAGTGGGTAGCCATGCCCTCCTCCAGGGGATCTTCCTGACCCAGGGATCGAACCCAGGTCTCTTGCATTGGAGGCAGATTCTTTACCCATGTGGTATATGTTAAAAAAAACAACTGGGAATTCCCTGGTGGTCCAGTGGTTAGGACTTGATGCTTTCACTGCCAGGGCATGGGTTCAATCCCTGGTCAGAGATCAAGATCCTGTCAGTCACAGAGTTGCTCCCACCCCTCCCCCCAAAAAAATGAAAACAACAAAAAAAATCCCATCTCCAACAGAAAAGTTCTTCCTCAAGATAAGCTTCAAAAGTCAGAGCTAACAGCACCTTAAAATGGATATAATATTTTATAGTATACAAATGCACTTAAATGCATTTCCTTATTTAATCTCATTTATTTAATGAAGGAGATGAGGTATCAGTACCTCTTTTCAGTTACAGTCATCAAGCTTCCAAAAGGTCCATGAGTGATTTCATGTAGGAAAACAGTAAAGCACAGCATTCAATTCAGTTCATGACTTGGGGGACAGGCACACCACAATTTTAGGAAATCTGTTTAGAAAGTTAACATGGTTTACCATACCTGATAAAAGCCCAATAAGTAGCATCAACAACCAGCCAGAAAAAGCATCGCTCACACTGTGAATTAAGGCCCATGTTGATTCTTTGCTTTTGTTGGTAATCTAGGGAGAAATGAGAAAACATTGATAGATTTTACACACACCCTTGCTTTTTCACATCAAAATGTGCAATAAAGAAACACAAAGACAAACCTATTCATTAGGAGACCAATTTAGAGTTACTTCTCAAGTCTTTGGCTGAACCAAAGTCACCAAGAACTTTGAGGTTTATTGAACCTTGTTTTACCAAACCCCACCTTCATCTCCAGTATTGCAATGCCTGCAAGTACCTTATTCAAGGCTTCCCTATTTAGCAGCTAATTTCTTTTATTTTTAATATGGCCTTTGTCTTTTATTTATTATTTCTGGCTGCACTGGGTCTCCCTTGTTGCACATGGGCTTTCTTTAGTTGTGGTGAGCAGGGGCTACTCTTTGCTGTAGTATGCAAGCTTCTCACTGCGGTGGCTTCTCCTGTTGCAGAGCACAGACTCTAGGCATACAGGCTCCATAGTTATGGCACATGCACTGAGTTGCCCCACGACACGTGGGATCTTACTGGAGGAGGGATCGAACCCACGTCCCCTGCATTGGCTGGTGGATACTTAACCACTGGACCACCAGAGAAGCCTTCTAGAGATTTTGTTGTTGTTGTTGTTGGCTGTGCTAGGTCTTCGCTGCTGCTCAGGTTTTTCTCTAGTTGCAGAGAGCAGGGACTACTCTCTAGTTGTGCTGAATGGGCTTCTCACTGAGTGGCTTTTCTTGTCCTGGATTATGGGCTGTATGGTGCTTGGGCTTCAATAGTTGCAGCACGTGGGCTCAGTAGTTGCAGTTCCCAGGCTCTAGAGCACAGGCTCAGCAGTTGTGGCACACAGACTGATGGGCTTAGTTCAGTTGCTCCTTGGCTCATGGGATCTTCCCAGATCAGAGATTGAATGCATGGCTCCTGCATCGGCAGGCAGATTCTTTACCACCGAGCCACCAGGGAAGCCCCTTAGTTGCTAATTTCTTATAACATCAACCTGTTTTGCTTACTGCAGTGGTCTCCTTCTGGCCTGGACATCAGATAGTCCTAAAATGGTCTCTTGACTCACAGAAAATAGTCTGATTGTTTTTCAAAGAATACATAAATATGGGCTTATTTGGTGAAAATACAATCTGAAGTTTACTACATGGGGCTGTAATTCAGGTCAGGCAAATTCTAAGACTTGATACCACAAACCCCTAACTGTAGTGACTGTGGTTCCTAAATGATATTAGGGATGATCTCTTTCATTCTCAAAAACCTGCTGGGAATATCTGCAGCTATCAAGAGGCACAGAAATGTTTACCTTTTTAGGCCCTAGCCTTGTCAATTTGGCTCTTCAGTGCTCACATTTCAAAACCAAGCATTCTGACAACTTTGGCATTAGTACTTCCCCTTTCTCTGCCTCTATTTCTTATCTTTGAAACTGAAAGTTAGCTACCCCATCTTGATCTGCAGCTACATCATGAGTAAATTATTGTGTGCTGTGCTGTGTTTAGTTGCTCAGTCATGTTTGACTCTTTGCAACCCCATGGACTATAGCCTGTCATGCTCCTCTGTCCATGGGGTTCTCCAAGCAAGAACACTGGAGGGGGTTGCCATTTCCTCCTCCAGGGGATCTTCCCAACCCAGGGATTGAACTTGTGCCTCCTGCAACTCCTGCATTAGCAGGCAGATGTTAAAAGCACTTTAAAATTTCATTTAGACTTATGACTTTAAGTTTCCAATTGAAATGCCGAAAGTAGATGAGGTGACACTTTTCCCTGACAGTGTTTCCATTCAGATGATGAACAGCTAATGCTTAAAAAAGGTCTCCTTTGAACATTTGATAAACACATTTCAATTGATTCTGAATTATTATTATTTGATATAATGTCTCAGATGCAACCATATTGATATAATGGGAAATGTACTCCTGTCATTTCACAGGTAGTTTTCACAATCTGAGTAACATGTTGAATAAGCAAATGATGACAAACTAAACTCTGAATTATATAGAGAAAAAGATTCTAAGGCTATAAAACTATATTTTAAAGTCTGCCTGATGAATTAATATAATAGAAAGAATACATGGATATGTTCCCAAATAGCAGGAATCTTAACAAAATGTTTTATAGAGATCACCTTTTTGAGTTGGAAGAAAACTCAGTGGGATTATCACAAGTCTAAGGATTACAAAGAAACTTCTCAAAACCTGTACCTGGGACAATCCTGGGCTCAGGTGGTCATGAGAAAAGCAGGGAGCCGGGAAAGGAATGAAAAGTGACCTGAACCTGACGGCTCAGGAGATTCACTCAGGTCTGAGAGGAGGAAACAAGGAACTCAGGAGAAAATGGAGTCAACTTAAAAAGCAAATTTTAAATTTGGACTCAAAGCAGAAAAAAAAAAAGAAAAAATAATCATACCTACTGTTGGTTGAAGACATGTTTCCCATTGAATCAGGATGATGGGGGCTGAATAAGCTCTCCACGTGCTCCTGACTCAGACTAGAAATTGTGATTCCCTGATTTAAATGATACTCAGCAGTAAGTTAAAGGCAAATGACCTTGGTGGGCTGCTCTGAGAAGTTTTCACAGTACTTTGAAAAGACAAAAGTATGGAGGTTCTCTTGTCATATTCAAAACAAAACTGAGCCACAGCTCTAAGTACTTCTATTAACTATCATACTAAATTAATGTCATTGATTTGAATTTGATTGGTCTTGCAGTTTTTACTTCAATGCATAAATGTGCTTTGGTTTTATACTTGTAAAAGAGCTATAATCACAGGTTTATCCTGTAAGCTTCAGTAAACACTCTTTTTCTTTAAAAAGAGTCCACTTACTTTTCTTAGTTGTAAAAATTCTGCTTCAAGGGAAAACCATAAAGAAAGATGAGATGGGGAAGAAAGATTTTGAAATTTATTTTGGTCCCTCCCACCAACTGTTTTCACCTTTCTACATAGGCATTTACACCCAATGATCCTTTTCAACCACTCACTATAGGAAGATAAATCATCATTAAATATAAATTATTTTCAAGATGCCTTAAAAATAAAAATAAAATAAAACCCTACATGGCCAACAGAAAATAAATTCAGCCACATCCAGGGCAGAGGGTTATATATGGAAAGAATATATATTTTCAACTTCTCCTGATATTTCCTAACACTCAGCTCACAAAGCATCTTTTGTCTTACCTCTCGGTGCCTATCCCGGTCTCGAGACTTCTCTCTCACCCAATCAATTGTATTGAAATCATCATAGGTCCCCACACCAGGGATTGGCTCCTCCAAGAAGTCCATCATCCTATTTGAAGAACCTATTCCTCCACCATTGTATGACCTATTCTCTGGATTGAACAGAAAGAAGACATTAGTAATACAGACACTTTGGACATTTTTAATACCTCCTTTTTGAGCACCAGGTGAGCCCTTAAACTATCAGATGACTATAGTTAGGGTATGTTGATAAAGCAGAATGATCACCTGGCAGGAACATCCTTCACATTCAGAGGTTTCTGTGGTTTAGGCACAAAACAATGAGCGTCTCAAGGCAGTGTGAATGGAAAGGGACAGATGAGAACGACAGTACAAACAGAGAACTGACAGTTGAAATACAGGGTAAAAGGATGTATGAAACAAAAGACAAGAGCTTGGAGCAGTTTAGATATTTCAGTTTATGTTTTGGGAGGAAGACAAAAGGGTCAAAGGTTTTTGCAGACAAATTACATCAGAAGCCATTTTATTAATACATTTACAAGGCAGTAATTCAATCCTCAGAGGTGGCTTTTGCCTGAGTAGGGACTCCAAAGAAAGCATGTGGGTCTCTTCCAGAGTTAAGCTGGCTGGAATGTACATATTTCACTTCCATGGGTATAAGACTTTGATCCTTGATGTCATGGGCCTGTGGAAACTTTTACTGAGTATGCCAGGACTGTCTAAGATTTCCAAGTAGAGATTTAAAGAAAAGTGCATGGCTCAGAAATGACAGGTCCCTCCCTGATCCTTCAACTGAAAGAAACATATCCATTTGGCCAACAATCACATTTACCTGCTTCGTTTTTAGCACTTCTACTATAATAACTTAAGTAAATGTTTTATCTTCCTTTCTAGACTAGAAGCTCTTTGAGGGTAGCCCTATCTCTGATTCACCATTGCCTTCTCCAGTGTCTAGCACACTGCCACAACCCAGTAAATATCAGGTGAGCCCAAGTTTGTTTGATTAACTGTTGGGATGAGGGAGGAGTATTTAAACTCAGAAGTGACACTTACACAAAGTTACTTAGTATTACTTAACAAACTTCTTTACATATTTCCACAATCCTCTGGTAGAACAAAATTTCACTATTAAACACAAAATGTAAAACTATATTCAGGAATGCATGCAAATGCACACTGAGGAAAAATGCAGAGTAATGCCATCAATGAACTCAACTAGCCACAGCTCACATTTGCAACACCAACCTTGGCAGGGACAAAGCTATATCCAGACTGTTTGATGATAAGTTCCTCTGCAGAGAAGGCTAAAGTGGGCCCAAGCTGACCTCGTCTCCCCCCAGCTACATCCTCAACTAACAGACAATTTGAGCACTCTCAAAGGACAAGTTTGAATTAACACCCAAGTTGCACCTGGTTTACAAATTCTAAGTCTTCCAAATACCTAGTTCAGCATACCTTTCACAAACAAGGCACAGCTGAAAGGAAAAGCTCTGCAGAATCCAAATCACAGTAAGTGGGGGTGAGGTGGGGGGGAGTGGAGGAGGTGAACAAGTTAATCTTAAAACCCCTAACCAAAGTCCTTTCCGTATCTTCAAGCATACCTGACCATGAAATGGTTGTCTGCTGAATCACCAGCTCAGCATTTCCTATCATGTCAGTGGCATGCTGATAAAGATGAATGCTGGTGTGTTGTCTGAGAGATTGGAGGGAAACAGCCAGCTGGGAAGGAGGGCAGAAAGAGGCTAAAGTATGTGGGGCAGGAGGGAACCAAGCTCTTTCAATTCTCAAGACAAATGCTGACATGTACACAGGACACCAACCAACCAGAAACTGACTTTTTCAAGCAGGTTAATGCTTCAATTCAATTTGCTCTGGTTTAAGTGTGCTCCTTTCAGGAGAAATTTTCAAAGGATTTTGTGAAACTGATTTTTAAAAAGCTTCTACTAGATATCTAATGTTACACTAGGTATCAAATGAGGCCCCCAGTTCAAAGGATATTAAGACAAAATGAAGATCTGCAACAGCTTCCTAACAGGAAAGAAAAAATCCTATTACATCACTGGGTAACATGAGTACTGAATCATCCTTCTTTGTAGATAGTCTATTATAAACGCAAATTGTCAGGCAGCTCGGAAAGAGCAGGCAATGATTAGAATCCGACAACAGACTGCTTGTGATTCTCCAGACCCCCTTCTCCCTGGGGTCATGCTTTGGTCCTTGGCCAGGCTCAAGCCTGCTTACCTTCAATCACAGCTTTCTTTTTTTCTGCCTCAAAGAAGAAATAACCTTGGCAGCCCGCATTTCCTCATTTAGGTTGAGGAGCTTTTACAGAAGGAGCCCCGGTCTGAACTGCTTTAGAAGGGCACTTGCTGTATTCTCTGCCTTTCACAGGAACAAACACCACCTAAAGAACCACCAATGTTCCCTGGCGGTCAGAATGTGATGTCACTGTTGGAATCACGTGACCAGACCCTTGGACCAGCCTTGGAGAAAGAAGATTTTTAACTAAGCACAGAAGCCTTAAAGATGTAGTCTCATCTAAACAAATGCCATCAAACCAGAGGCAGTCAGGTCAGTTCAGAAAACTGGGATTCAGACAAATTTAAGGTTTTCAGACCTCATTTAGCAGAAAATCTAAGAAGGCAAATTATAAATATCAGAAAGCATTTAAAATTACAGGGATCTTAAATATTTTAAAAAGGGGGAGGGAAAAAGAGACAGGCAAATATGGAAAGGCTTTTTTTTTTTAATGCACTGGATACCAATAACACAGATAAAAATCTCACCTGAGTAGCGAGCTAAATTAGTGAAATGAATGAAAGATGCCAGACACAAGAGAGCACATAACATGATTTTATTCATGTAAGTTCAAAGGCAGACAAACCTAAGTTATATGGTTTTAGGATACCCATGTAAGTGACTACATTATAAGGGGAAACAAGAAAATGCCAAAAGTAAAGACAGTAGCTGACTAGGGAGAGAGGGGAGTCACCTTCTGGATGGAGCACATGGTGAGGGTTGGGCTTTGGGAAGCTGGCAATTTTTCTTAATCTGGGCAGGGGTTACCTGAGTATTCACATTATGATTATTCTTTAAACTGTATACACATAGCTTATGTCTTTCTATAGAGAAAATTATGAAAAACTGAACCACATATGAACTTAGCATACAAAGTCAGGTCTTTAATACCTCCTAGTAACTTTGAAAACTCAGAAAGCAGTCAAGAAAATGAGTTGTTACTTAGCAGTAGCACTCTACCTAGAAAGCAGTATCAAGTCTGGTCTCATTAATCCAACCTGGGTAAAAGTAGTTATTTCAGCCATGAAAATTAATTCACTAGTACATCTGCACTGTTTTAAAGACTTTCCCTTCTCTGGTCCTATTCTGAAGGCTACTGTTCAGCAAGTCTTAATGAACTGTGCAATAAGCAAAAGGTTAATGCAGTAAAGAAGAATTAAATTGCCATCTCTACATATAGGTAACACTGAGGTAACACTGATATATATATATGTGTGTATATATATAGTAAAGTTGTTAAGAGAGTAAATCTTAAGCGTTCTCACCATAAGGAGAGAACTTTCTCTTTTCTTCTTTCTTTTCCTTTTATTGTATCTATATGAGATGGGCTTCCCTGGTGGCTCAGAGGGTAAAGAATCTGCCTGCAATGCAGGTGGACCCAGGTTTGATCCCTGGGTTGGGAAGATCCCCTGGAGAAGGGAATAGCTACCCATTCCAGTATTCTTGCCTGGAGAATCTCATGGACAGAGGAGCCTGGTGGGCTACAGTCCATGGGGTCACAAAGAGTCAGACACAACTTAGCGACTAAACAACAACAATATGAGAAGATGGATGTTAGTCGAACTCACTGTAGTAATCATTTCACAATGTATGTAAATCAAAGCATCCTGATTTATACCTTAAACTTATACAGTGATGTATGTCAATTTTTTCTCAACAGAACTGGAGAAAAAGAAAAGAAAATTGCCATCTCCTAACCACCTAAGTGAATGCACAGAACAGCCACTATTATAAACATTAATCTAGTCGGTGTGCTCCAATAATCAGACCTAAATATGGTGTTTCAAAATGTTGTGATTACCCTCACCAATTCTTAAGGCCTGATGCATCCTAAAATATCAATATAATAAAACATGGAACCTACATGCTTTTGGTCCAGTCCATCACTATGACAGTATCCCAGTTCTTGATGAACTAACCTAGCACTAACAAGAAGTAAAATGAAGCAGCAACTGATAGTATTGTGGCAAAAAACTAACAAGTTTAAAAAGCAAAAGCTATGACTCAAGTGTGACTGTATTGTACAATTATACTTTTAGAAAAGTACGTATTTCTTACTTAAAGAGGATGACAGGGCCAACCTCACAAGCCTCCTTCCAAGTTTTCTTTACTAAATGGGATTCTATGTGTAGTATCTGAAGACCACTACAGAATATATTCACTTATACTAAGACTTCATTACCTTATTAATTATTTACACTATAACATACTAGTTTTTGGTACTTAAAAAATGTATAGATCTTCAATGCACAGTAACTGGATTGCATAACTAGTACCATGTCAATAACTTCTGGTGAAATTTCATGTGTTTTTCAAATGCTCCATCAGTGCTTCTGTGGAGGAACTATTTTATTCCACGTAAATTTACCTCTTTTGAAAACTAGAGGACTGACAGCTATGACACAGTCCTCCTACTAAAATGAGATTTAATTACAATTCAGATTAAGAAATGAGGCACTGGATTTGTAGCAACATGGTTGGATCTAAATATTATCATACTAAGTGAAGTAATGCAGAGAAAGACAAATGTTGTATGATACCACTTATATGCAGAATCTAAAAAAGATACAAATATACTTATTTACAAAATAGAAACAGACTCACAGACATATAAAACAAACTTACAGTTACTAAAGAGGAAGGAAAGGGAGATAAATTAGGAGTTTGGGATTAGCAGAAGCACACAACTATATATAAAATAGATAACCAACATAGGAAACTAATACTCAATATTTTGTAATAGTCTATAAGGGAAAAGAATATGAAAAGGAATATAGATATATTTAGTGTATATATACACACACACGCACACACTAAAACTACAATGAGAATT